CATGTTTTTCTTCATAGAACCCAGCTTCTCGGATTATTTGCTCAGCATACAGGTTGAATAAGTATGGTGAAAGAATACAACCTTGTCGCACACCTTTTTAAATTTTAAACCATTCAGTGTTCCCATGTGTGTAGATACAGACACACCAGGGTGCTTCCATTCACTTTGTCTATGAACTTTGGAAGCCTGCTCATACTTTGGCACCTGCAACCCCATGTGTAGCCCCTGGCTCTGCCCACTGAGTCTCCCAAGCATGTCCCTGAGAGGCAGGTGACGTCTTAACGTCACCATCATAGATGGGCAGCCCTGACTTCTGGCAGCCTCACGTTCAACAGAAGGACACGATGGTTAGCCCTGCATTGTCCACCCAGTCAGCTGCATGTTCAAGTCCATTGTCATGGCTGTGTGGCCAGTCCATCTCACTGAGGGTCTCCCTCACCCTCGCTGCCCCTCTACTGTATCAGACATGTTGTCCTCCATCAACATTGATCCCTTCCTGTGAGGTTTCTAAAGCAGGTGAGTCCGCCAGTAAACTAATGAGCCGTAAGCTTTTTGTTGGTGGATTTGGGGAAGCAGACCTCCAGGCCTTTCTTCCTAGCCTGTCTTAGTCTGGAAGCCGCACTAAAACCTGTCCAGGATCGGTGGTGGTGGAGCGTCCAGCATCATAGCAGCATGCAAGCCACCACAGCAGGACAGACTGAGCCATGGGTGGTGGGCTGATAAAGTAGTCATGGTTTTTCATTTTAAATGCTCCGTCAGTTCTGAGACTGCCCATCTTTACAGGAGCAGACAGCCTCATCTGTCTCCCGCCCATGGAACAGCTGGTGGGTTTGAACCACTGACTTTGTGGTAAGCTGTTTCACCCACTACGCCACTCAACCAGTGGTGATACAACAGTAGTTTCCATTTGTGTGTGTTTTATTTAATTCGGCTCACCCTACGCCATTCCCAGTTTAATTATTAAATGAAGGAACTTGGAGCACCTGGGCCACAGCTTTCGTGCATTTCATAGTTTGGGGAGGGGTCCATAACCTGTTTTTAGGAACAAGAGACCCTGTGCCTGACTGTCCCCATCTCTTGCCACCATGAGAAAGTGCTGCAAAGTGAGCACTGCTTTATTACTGATTTTAACCAAAAGGATGCTGTAACAAGAATTCAAAACAGAATTTAGGGTGCAGAGAGATTTACCCCAAAAGTGAAGTGTTTCCTTTCTTTACTGCTGCCTTTTTGCCCACTTGAATGTGCATTTGTGTTTATTTAGCATGGTGTGCCTCTTGCATTCACTGCAGTTTTGCTGTGTGAGTCCCTCTTGCATTCACCACAGTTCTGCCGTGTGAGCTGCCTCGCTTGGCTTTCTGAATGTCTTTCCATCTTTCAGGTCTCACACTGACCATTTCAGATACTTGGATTGTACTGAGGTCATGCCCACCGTTGATTTAATTGCCCTGCTAAAAGTCTATGTAGTTCTTTTCATATACTGAATAATGACTTATCCACATGCTCCTGTTTTCATCTTTCTTTTGCCAACCTCTTGTCAAATGATTCCCTTAAAATACATTTTTCAGAGTGGCATCAAGGTAGAAGGCTCCAGATCTTTGTAAGCTATTGAACTGCAAGGCTAAAATTACTCTGTGAAAGGATTGGGTCAGCTTATGTTAACCTGTAGCATGTGACATATGCCAGACATCTAGGTAGCCTAGACTGTTTTATCTTATTTGTTTTTTGTCAGGGGCAAAATCATGAGTTGGTGGTGGTGGTTTAGTAATAGAGGAATTCTCACCTTCTGTGTGGGAGACCTGGGTTCAATTTCTGGTCCATGTACCTCACGTGCAATCCACACCCGCCCTTCAGTGGAGGCTTGTATGCTCCTTAGATGCAGAGCACATATTAGCAGAGCCTCCAGGCTACAAGGGAATAGAAAGAAAGACCTGGAGACCTATTTTAAAAAATCAGCCAGTGAGAGCCTACAGACTCCAAGGGCCCAATCCTCAACCAATTATGAGGATAGTGCAGGACTGTGCACAGGGTCACCATGAGTCAGGTATCAGCTTGACTGCAGCCAACCACCACCACAAGAGCAAACTATGAACAATGGTCATAGGGTTTTCCTGGTGAACGCTCTTCCCTCTTAAGAGCTGTCCTGTAAATGTTCCCCACACCTCCACCGGCCCCCTCAACCCTTCCTTTCTAGCCACACCCTCCTACCTTCCAGACTAGGCTGTTCCATCAGACTAGAATGCTTTTCCACGCAGAGCTCTGCTTAAATGCCATACCTTCATAGAAGCCATTCCTGTCTGATGTGGTCAGCTCACTGCCGGGTCAGATTTAGACGCTATCATGCATTTGTGTGTATTTAGCATGCTGTGGGGTAAGTAGGGGGCTGCTAACCATCAGGCTGGCGATTCAGACTCACCGTGGGATAAAATGAGGCTGCTCACTTTGGTTTGCTTTATTTGTTTTTTTGGATTCCTCCACCAGAAGGTAAAGTGGATGAGGACAGACCTGGGCCTGGCAGGTCCCCTAGAACATACCCAACACATAGTAGGTACATAGTAAATATTCAGAAAGTTACACCCCACCTACAAGGAGCTCTGGTAGCGTAGTGGTTACGAATCGGGCTGCGAACCTTAAGGTCAGCAGTTCGAAACTACCAGCCGCTCCGCGGGAGAAAGATGAGGCTTTCTACTCCCGTAAAGATTTACACCCTCGGAAACCCTGTACAGGGTCGCTATGGGTCGGAACCGACTCGACGGCACTTAACAACAACAACAACACCCCACCCACACACTTTTTTCATGTGTGTTACCTTCTTCCAGGTGAACCAGAATAATACCTCCTCCAACTTAGGAAGTTCATGATTTCCAGGTAGGCTTGCTGACTTCGTGTGGGGTGGGGGTGGGGGGGACGGGGGAGTTGGGACTTGATCCACCCCTGAGCCCCAGAGCTACTTTCCTGAAAGGCTTGTCCCTCCAGGACTTTCCTAGGGGAATAAAAGTGTCCACTGAGGTGGGCTGACCCAGCCCCATTGAGGTTTCCATGGCAACCAGCTGGGGGAGCTATTTATAGAATGGCCTGCTCCAGTCTCTTGGCTCTGGGTCTGTGATGTGGGTGGGGATGATGATGCTGAACCAGCTGGAAGGGAAAGGCTCTTGGTTTACCTGTCATTGGGAACAGAGCAGGGAGGACCACCGTGATGGAGCAGGATCTAGAGCCATGTTTGCACAGGATGCTACTTGCCCAGCTGGCGTCTATAAACAGCATCCGCTTTGGCTCAGCGTTTCATGTTCTAGTCATAGTCTCAGCAGTTCGTTCCTAAGAATACCCTCCAAGGCACAGGGCCAGGTACTGGGGTGCAATTTAATCCCCAGCAGCCCTGTGGGCCAGGGGCCATGACTCTCCACATCTCAGATATGAGCACCATAGATGCCCCCAGAAATCATCTATCAAGCCAGGGGGGTGCTGATGATGAGTAATTTTCAGAGCAGGATTGTCATCTGTGTTTTGCTAAGAGAGGTGGGGAGAGGGTTTTGGATCAAGGAAACCAACAGTTCAAAACCATCCCAGCCTCCACTGCTCACACGTGAAGAACAGGGAGGCATAAACGCCTGCCCCCTCCGAGGGTGGTGGGGGAATGAAGGGCGCTGACGTCACATTCTCAGTGAGTGAGCTTCTTCCTGTGTCCCCCAGCCTCTGTGATCGGAGACTGCGGGGAGGCACACTGTGAAGTCAGGACCAGCTTGTATGGGTCATGGGTGTGTTTCCTGTTCACCTAAGACTGGAACTCGGAGCTTCAGGCCTACACTCTAATTTTGGCCTTGTCTTCTTATTTTTAAATAATCAGCATATTTTGTTGTTGTTGCTTCTCTCTGAATCCAGTTTGCCCCACTCTGCAAGTTTAGAGAAATCCAGCCTCTTTCATATCTGGGCTTCCATCCTGAGGCTCTCCAAGGTCCTGGAATTTGACAGAATTCCAAGGAGAGATCCCTCCCAGTAAAGACAGGCTTGGTCTGGGTTTCTCCCCAGCTCTCTTGCCCTCTGTCTGCAGATTCTTTATTAAGTTCCAGAACCTTCTCATTGACAAAAGCCAGCTTCCATCCTTCACACTACTGTTAAAAAGGAGCCCTGTTGGCACAGTGGGTTAGACATTGGGCTGCTGACTGCAAGGTTGGCAGTTCAAACCCACCACTCGCAGAAGAAAGATGAAGTGGTGTCTGTTCTGGTAAAGACTGACTGCCTCAGAAACCCTAGGGAGCATTTCTGCTCTGTGTTGCAGGGTCACTGTGAGTCAGAATCAGCTACAGTGGGTTTGGTTTTTAGTTTGTTTTGTGCCAGGTAAGAGCTCTGATGGTGCAGTGGCTAAAGCACTAGATTGCTAACAAAGAGGTCAGTGGTTCTAATCCACCAGACACTCAGTGGGAAAAAAGATGAGACTGCCTGCTCCCACAAAGACTGACAGTCTCGAAAACCCTAGGGAGCAGTTCTATCCCATCTTGCTGGCTCTCTGTGAGTCATTGAATCGACAATACCAGTGGGTTTGTTTGGGGTTTAGTTTTTGGTTTTGGTTCTTTGTTGTTTTACTGTTTCAATGAGATATTAAATGCAGGCCTTTTAGATAATCCTTGGTGCAGTGTTCACTAGCCCTGAACAAATGTCCCTAAAGCCTGAAACCTGTTGCTGTCTGCCACCATTTGTTCTTGGTAAATACGAAACAATGTGTTCTGAGGCCAGGTTGATACAGGTTGAGATGTGGGCAAGAAGGAGGAAACATTTCCCCATTTCAATTCCCCTTGGCCATCTGGGCCGCATCTGTAGAACCTCAGTGGAAGACTGTACATTTGGCAAGGACACATAGAAACAGACGGGCTTGATTTCAGATTGGTTACTCAGAGGCTAATGCATCGCCACCTTCTTCCAGATCTCTGCACGCGGGGACGCTCTGTCACCACAAAGAGAAGACACTTCGCATTTGAGTGGAGATCGGACCTCTAATCCAAGCATATTGCTTGCTATTAATCACCAAGGCAGGACTGCTGATGAGAAATGTTATTTGCATATGTGTGCAAAAAGCGGAATCATTGGAGAACTTACCTAAAAAGCCAGAAGCCCTCTTCTCTTTGGACACACCAGATCCGAGAGCAGAGCGCAGGGAAGCAGCCCAGCTTTTGAAAGTTCGGTATTTTTTCTATGTCCCTTCCAGACTTTTTTTTTTTTTTTTAAGAAATGAATCTTCTGCCTTCCTTGATTTCCTAGACGGCCTTGGTGGCTTTGTTTAGCTGGGACAAGGCCCCACAACTTGTGTATCTCCTGTTCACCTGTACTTTGAATTCAAAGAATCTATTTAAGATTTTAATATATGAGGCTTTCTTTGATTCCTCCTCAGTTCTGTTTCTATTTCATTTGTTTCACAGAGAGGGGAACAAAAATGAAATAAAATGAACAGGGACTCGTTTGTGTGTGCCTGCCTTTACAGCATGAAGACATCTTTTCTACCCCCTCCCTAGATTGAATTTGAACAGGTGTGTCAGCAATTAGCAAGAGCTGGGGAGCAAGTCGATGCAACACACAGCTGAAACCAGCCCCCCTCTTAGGTTTGACAATTTGACTCACAGAACAAAGAAGTGCTGTTGAGACATAGTTGTGGGGTTTTTCCAGCAAACAGAGACAAACTGAAATCCGTTGAGGAGAGAGTCTCAGGGCAGTGGGCAGGGGGACTCCTGCCAGACTTCCAGCTGCCCTGTCCCAGCAGAATGGTGTTGCAGAGCCTCATTGTCCCTGCGGTGATGTGTGACAGCACATGGAAAGTAGCCTCGGGGGTCTTTATTAGGGGTAGTCATGTATGCTTGGAGCATCCATGTAACTGGCTTTAGTTATGCCATCTTTAGCCCACCCAGTGCCCCTCCAGAGATCAAACTAACATAGTCTTCGCCTTAGTGACCATGTTCTAACCATAAATCGGTCATTGTAATTAAACTATCTAGTGTGGCCCTAGGGAGTCTGGGTGTAGTAGGATAAGCACTCAAATGCAAGGTCGGAGGTTCAAACTCACCAGTTGCTCCTTGGAAACCCTATACAGAGTCACTATGAGTCAGAACCAACTCAACAGCACAAAACAACCAAGTGTGGCCCCGGCTCCAAGTATCCAAAGACCAGCTTATCAGGCTTACTAGTTATCAAGGGTCAGTCCTTTGTTGGGGACTGAACCCCCCCAGCCCGTCAAGTTAACCCTTTATTGTACAGCTTTCCGATGCTGGAGAGAAGAATTGGGCCAAGAACCGTTTTGTCTCTTTTAAGGTTAAGGCACTTTACCCAGATGTCCTTGCCTCATGATAGCTCATACTAATACATGAGACTTTGAGAAGCCATTGTCTCACAGTGATTTGCACATGGATTCGTCTTCTCATTTGTAAAATGGGCAAGTTAAAGCCTCTAGGTGTGTTGGGTGAGAAAAGGGTTTAACAGGGAATGAGATGAACCCAGAAGGAGATGAAGCTCTTGCCTCTCCTTGTCCTTGAGGTGACATTGGAATGGTGTCTCCGTCTCCTAGGTCTGCCATCATCCAGCAGAAATGTCCTGCCTCCCACTTCAGGAGGCTGGATGTCCACATCCCGCATTGTCTGGTGGGCTCCCAGAGAGTCTGCCATATGCGCCTTTATAACGAGCCAAGCCTCCTATGATTAGGACCCTCCCTACTCCTATTAAGGATCCCTGGTAGTGCTGTGGGTTAAGCACTGGGATGCAAACAGCAAGGTCAGCAGTTAAAACCCACTCTTGGAATCAAGAGAAAGATGTTGTCAGGTGCCATCCAGTCGGAACCGACTCATAGTGACCCCATGCACAGCAGAACAAAACAATGTCCGATCCTGAGCCAACCTCACTACCGCTGCAACACTTGATGCCATCAATGATGCCACCTGGCCGATCCATCTCAGGGGTCTTCCTCTTTTTCTCTGACCCTCCATCTTACCCTGGAGAAGCATGACATCCTTCTCCAGTGACTGTTCCCTCCTGACAATATGTCCAAAGTATGAGAGACGAAGCTTAGCCATCCTGGCCTCCAAGAACCACTCTGGCTGCACTTTTTCCAAAAAAGATGTATTGGTTCTTTTGGCAGTCTATGGCACTTTTAGTATTCTCCTCCAACACCACAACTCAAAGGCATCAATTCTTCTACGATCTGCCTTAATCACTGTCCAGCTTTCACATCCATATGAGGTTATAGAAAATGCCATGGCTTGGGTCAGGCACACCTTAGTCCTCAAGCTGACATCTCTGCTCTTCAACACTAAAAAGTTCCTGTGCAGCAGATTTGCCCAATGCAATACATCGTCTGATCTCTTGACTGCTGCTTCCGCGAGTGTTGATAGTTGATCCAAGAAAAATGAAGTCCTTGACAACTTCTTTTCTCTGTTGATAAGAATGTTATAGTGGTCCAGTGGTGAGGATTTTTGTTTTCTTGACATTGACATGCAATCCATGCCGAATGCTGTGTTCTTTGATCTTCATCAGTAAATGTTTCAAGTCCTCTTCACTTTCAGCAAATAAGGTTGTATCATCTGCATATCACAAGTTGTTAATGAGTCTTCCTCCAATCCTGGCACCACGTTTTGCTTCACAGAACCCAGCTTCTTGTATTATTTGCTCAGCATACAGGTTGAGTAAGTATGGTGAAAGAACACAACCTTGTCACACACCTTTCCCAATTTTAAAACATTCAGTGTTCCCATGCCCTGTTTGAACAACTGCTTCTTGGTCCAGGTAGAGATTTCTCAGAAGTACAATTAAGTGTTCTGGAGTACTCATACTTCTCAATGTTGTCCATAGCTTGTCATGATCCACACAATCGAAAGCCTTTGCGTAGTCAATAAAGCATAGGTAAACATCTTTCTGATATTCTCTGCTTTCAGCCAAGATCCATCGAACATCAGCAATAGACAAGGTTTACTGTGAAACTAGAGCCGTTCTTGGGGCAATAGGTCAACCTCACTTGTGTCCTGGTTCAAGCACCCTCGTGCAATGTGCATATTTTCTGATTGATGAATCTGTGAAGATACTGTCATTAGTGCAATTGTTGGGTACTTCTGTCATTACACATCATTTGCTTTGGAGTCAGAACTAGGTTTAAGTTCACCAACCATGTGACCATGGGCAAGCACTCCCTTCTCTGAGCCTCAGTTTTCCTAATCTGTAAATTATAGATAAATAGACAATGTGAAGACTAAATGAGATACACAACCTAATTATCTGGCTCAGTGAAGCTGGATCATCAAAGCTAATTAGGAACTGTGGCCATTAATAAATGGAAGCTAGAATGATAATTCTATCATCTGTCAGTTTGCCCTCCTGTGATGGTTTAGGTGTTAACCATGACGTTGGAAGCAGCGCCATCTCCAGCAATGTGGTGGCCCTGAATTACCTTGCAAACCTGGAACTGAATCCACCCTGGGGATCCATCAACTTTCAGCCAAACAACAGGCCTAGAAAGTGACTAACACCCATGAGGAATGTGCTCCATGTAATCATTCAACGCCCAAAGGGTAGCATTTCCCCAAAAACAAAGCTCAGAAGACGGGCAGGGAAGAAGGATGATTGGAAACAAGCAACCCAGGGAGGAAGTGAAGAGTGTGTTAATATTGTGGGGATTGTAACCAATGTCATGAAACAAAAGTGTACAGATTGTTGAATGGTAAACTAATTTGCGTTGTAAACTTTCTCCCAAACTAGAAATTTTTTTTTATTAA